CTTGAGCCCAGGAGTTGGAGGTTGTTGTGAGCTGTGATGCCATGGAACTCTTTACCCAGGGCGACAGCTTGAGGCTCTGTCTCAAAAAAAGAGATTCTCTTGCCTCAGCCTCCCAAGTAGCAGGGACTGCAGGAGCCCGCCACAACACCTGGCCATTTCTTTGGTTGTTGTTGTTATAGTTGTCACTGTCATTGTTGTTGGGCAGGCCCAGGCTGGATTTGAACCTGCCAGCTCTGGTGTATGTGGCTGGTGCCTTAGCCACTTGAGCTAAAGGTGCAGAGCCAATGTGCTTTTATCTAGAGATCTTTCTTTCAAGTGCGTTTGGTCTTGAGGCCACCCCACTCCCAAGCTTAATTTCTCTATTTGGACCAGAAACGCACCATCAGGGCTGATATTACTAGATTGTAATGTGCACCTTGATGCGCACTCTCACTTGTGACCTACATGAAATAGTATGAAACACCATTTGCTTCTCTGATGCCCTGTGACACCTGCAGGCAATGGCTGAGATGGGGGCTGGGGACATCTAGTGTACGTGCTGTATAGGACTGTTACCAGGAACTGAGTATAGTTGAGCTGCAGCACAGCTAAGGCAAGCCCCTCCCACAGGTCCAGGAGTCTGTTGCCAGCTGCTTGCCACCTCTTGTCCCAGCCATTAAGGAGGATGCCGGAGGGATGATCCAGAGGCTTATGCAGCAGCTGCTGGAATCAGACAAATATGCAGAGCGCAAAGGGGCTGCATACGGGCTGGCAGGGCTAGTGAAGGGCCTGGGCATTCTGTCGCTGAAGCAGCAGGAAATGATGGCAGCACTGACTGATGCCATCCAGGATAAGAAGAACTTCCGCCGGCGAGAGGGTGAGTGTCTCTGAGCTGTGTGCCACCCATTGTAGGAAGGTGGTTTTCATGTTTCCAGAGGAAGGAATTTGGCCTTTCTGCCCCTGCTGGCGGGGTGCTGCTTGTGTGTGTGCTGCAGAGGGGGCAGCTGTGCATGTGACCAGTCTAGCCCAATCCTTGCTGAATTGGCTGGGTCTTTCTAACTCAGAACACCTTTAGCTGGGAGAGATTTTGCCTTTCTAGCTATTAGTACCAAGAAGTGATGGGTAGTTCTGTTCTCACTTCCACTCATCCACATCCCCAACTATGGGGCTTTCTAAGAGCTGAGGCAGAGGGTGCTATTCCCTCAGGGGGTGTCTACTTAGTCCCACAGCTTCCCTGAGTGTTTCCAGAGAGTGAAGAAGTGGCAGGGAGTTTGCCAGCACTCTGTTCCCAATGGCTGCCCCTAGAGGATACTCCTTCCCAGCTGTCCTGCCTTCTTCCCTAGGAGCCCTCTTTGCCTTCGAGATGCTTTGCACCATGCTGGGGAAGCTCTTCGAGCCATACGTGGTCCATGTACTGCCCCATCTGCTGCTGTGCTTTGGGGATGGGAACCAGTACGTGCGTGAGGTAGGTCCCGAGACTGCACAGGAAAGTAGCTGCTCACAGGGGTGGCCACTGGGTGTGAGGCATCAGAAGTAGTATAAGCCCTTGCTGCTGGAATCCCTTTTGCCCACACCTAAGGCACTGGTTACTGCTCTTGTTCCCAGTGAAGGATTGAAGTTTTATGAGATGTGTTGTCAGCCATCTCCTTAGGCCCTGTCACAGGGCCCAGAGCAATAGAACCCCCATATAAGTGTTGGCCGTTGGGAGAATACTGGGGCTAATATCAGGCCTTGGCCCTTGCTTGGGGGAGGAGGCCCTTGAATGTCTTTTCTCCTCCCTTGAGGCTGCAGATGACTGTGCCAAGGCTGTAATGAGTAATCTCAGTGCTCACGGGGTGAAGCTGGTGCTCCCCTCCCTACTGGCTGCCCTGGAGGAGGAATCCTGGCGGACCAAAGCTGGTAGGGCCCTCCCTTCTGTTGGTCTATCTGTCTCTCTCTCTCTCTCTCTCAACTTCCTGTTCTGAAAACTGCCCTCAGCAGGGATCCAGGTAGCCACAGCTTTTGTCCTGTTTGTGCCCCTCTACCCAGGGATAAGTCCAAGAAGACTTTTGCCTTTGGGCAGCTCAATCCTTGCAGGAGTGTCTAACCTGAGGTCTGTGGGCGGCATGTGGATTATGTGAGGACTTTTTTTTTTTGAGACAGAGTCCTCACTATGTTGCCCTTGGTAGAGTGTCATGGCATCATAGCTCATAGCAACCTCAAACTCTTGGGCTTAAGCAATTCTCATCTCAGCCTCCCAAGTAACTGGGACTACAGGTGCCTGTCACAACATCCAGTTATTTTTTGTTGTTGTAGTTGTCATTGTTGTAGCAGGCCTGGGCTGGGTTCGAACCTACCAGTTCCAGTGTATGTGGCTGGTGCCCTAGCTACTGAGCCTATGTGAGGATTTTTTTGCTTATCTGTGATGTCAGATATCACAAAAAGCGTACATAGACTTTTTCTTTTGCTTATCAGCTTTCATTAGTGTTTGTGGGGTTTTTTTGTTTGTTTGTTTATGTTTTGAGACACAGTCTCACTTTGTCGTCCTTGGTAGAGTACTGTGGTATCATAGCTCACAGCAACTTCAGACTCTTGGGCTCAAGCGATTTTCTTGCCTCAGCTTCCTGAGTAGCTGGGACTATAGGCACCTGCCACAGTGCCTGGCTATTTTTAGAGATGGGGTCTCACTCTGGTTTAGGCTGAGCTCAGATTATAGACGTGAGCCCTGCTCTCAGCCAGTGTTTGTATATTTAATGTGTGGCACAAGACAGCTCTTCTTACAGCAGGGATGGAAAAAGTTTGGACACCCCTGTGAGTTTGTGTGCTTTCATGTCGACAGTTAGTCTCTGTCAAGAGCCACAACTCTAACTGAGAAAATCCTAGAACTTTTAAGCTGTTCTGTGGCTTTAAAGCTTTTATTCCCCCACTAAAACTCATCTTTAAAAATGTAACTTATCTGGAACCCTAATGGGGAAACCAGATGAAAGCAGAGCTGTTCTTATTTTGGGAGGGTCAAGGTCTGGGACCTCCTATGTGGCTTACCCCTTGGCCCTTCGGGCTTTGCCCTACAGTTTAAAACATGACAGATCTAAATCAATCAACCTCTTCATTGCTGATGAGGAAACAGTCCAGAGAAATTCAGCAAACTGGCCTTGGATCATTATAAGGGCTAAGCCAGATCTCCCTTATCCTGGTCTCACCTTTTTCCTTCATACAGCCCTGCCTCTCCCCTGGGATCCTACTGCTTAACAGTCCCTAGGAGCTTTTTGCTTCCTCTGCTCAAGCCATCCCCCCTTTCCCCTCCACCCAGGGCCTGCTTGAGCACAGTCCACAGGGGAACAGGCTGGATGTCCCTTATCCATGCAGCCAGCCCAGGTGACTTGCTGGCCTGTAATCAGTGATTCAGAGTTGGATATGTATCTGTCGTCTGCAGGATCAGTGGAGCTGCTCGGGGCAATGGCGTACTGTGCTCCTAAGCAGCTGTCGTCCTGCCTTCCCAACATTGTGCCCAAGCTTACGGAGGTGCTGACTGACTCCCATGTCAAAGTCCAGAAGGCCGGACAGCAGGCGCTCAGGCAGATCGGCTCTGTCATCAGGAACCCGGAGATCCTGGGTACGCCTCTCCCATGAGGGCATTCACCCTGACTGCACCCCCAGTTCTGCCTTTGGATATTATAGGGAACATACACACAAGATTTTTGTTCTCTGAGGACAAATATATTTACAGTGAAATAATCTCTGACTCCTGGAAATCCCTTTTCCTAGAATAGTTAGCTAAAGGTAGTTTGGAAGTGGTCTGTTTTTCCACTAGTCTGGAGTAGCTGTTATTGGCTCAGGAGCAGCTTGACTGTGAGAAGTCTCTGTGCCCTACACTGAGCATGAGGTCAGCAGGATTGAATGA